TATAGACTCATCATCCTTCATCCTGAAGAGCTCATACTCAGTGGTGAGCATGTCAATATTAGACTGTTTAACCTTAGTAGTTCCTTCGTGTGCGGTTTGCAATGCTTCCCATATTTTTGTGGTAGAATCACAAGATGAGACTCTATTGTACTCATTAGGTCCTATACAACATACCAAGATTTTCTTGGCGCGATAGTCCTTTTCTACTGCTTTTCTGTCAATACACTGTACTCCTTTCTGTCTTTCGGCACCATTGGTCTAGTTTCTCCAAGATTCTTCATAGGAACATGTGGACCATCACAGATGATATCATATAGTTCTGAATCTTCGGCCATTATAAAATCATGCATACGAGTCTTCCACCAGCCGTAGTACTAACCATTGAATCTAGGAGGTTTGTAGGTTGATTGTCCTTCCTTAAAGTTGGGTAGAGCAACCATTGAGATCCTTTCTAGGTGTTAACCTTTTAGAAAGAACCCGCTATGATACAATTGTTAGCTTATATGAGTTCACCAAACTATAGAGCACCTGATCCTCTATGAGTTTCTACTGAAAACACTTATGGAGCAGTAAGTAAAAGAGACACGGGATTTTACATGGAAAAATCCCACTCAAGGGACAAAAATTATGACCTACCTTTGTAGGCTTTCAACTTCATAAACTTGTAATCTCACTATTACAAGCCACTTTGTAATGACTCTATTACAAAGACTTCAACTGAACTAACTTGTGATACTCTTACCACAAGTCACTTTGTCACTCTCTAGTTACAAAGACTTTAACTTATGACTAACTCTAGTCATAACACATACTTACAGGTTTGTACCTTTTCGGTTTCCTAAAACACAGCTTCTAAGAAAGCAAGATAGGAGTTACAATGAAGAACAATAACAAGATTACAACTCAACTACGGATACACATAGACTCATTGTGAAATTGATCCTTTAGTGGAGTTGCCTTCTTGTTCTTGACACACTTGTGACTTCAATGGTGGATGAACACTTTTTTTCTTGAGAGGATATCACTAAATGCTTAAGTGAATGTCTTGTTTATTGCACCAGGTTGTTATACTACAAAAGATATCACAATGGAGATGTCAATTCTTGGTACACACTTCTTCCCAATGAGAAGTGACTGTTGTACTGTCTGCTGCACTATCGCGTGTATAGTTGCAGACAATCACTTTCTGCAATTTCCTTCTAGCTGTATAGTTGACTTGTACTTCTGTTAGAGAACACCAAGGGATCAGGTCCCTATTGTGTTCCTCTTTTGAGTAGTTCATTTGCTGGAGATCAGACTAGACTTCGTTCATTTAAGATGTGTACCAAGTGAGTCAGGTTCTCTATCTGGTTCTTAACATAAGTTTGTTAGATCATCAAAACATAAGAATCATAAGGCAAAGACATTGAAAATCCATCAGCTGGGATATGACGAAGTTTACTAATACACTTGATGACCACACAACTCTACAAATCAGAGACATTGCTCTTTGAGATTCTAAAAAGGATGACTATGCTATTTGGGATGTTGAATCTAGCGGTCACTATACTAACAAGAGTGCTTGGCAGAAGATTAGAAGCAGGGAGAAGAAGAAGGATGCTTTAAATAAGATGTGGCTCAATTGCATACCTTTAAAAATCTCATTCCTTTCTTGGAGATTGTACCTCGGTAAGCTTCCTTTTGATTAAATTATTGATAAATTTGGTAATCAAATTGTTTTTAGATGCAGGTTTTGTTAGAGTCCTAAAGAGTACACCATTCAACATGTCTTCATTGAGGGGGATGCAACCAAATTTATCTGGAATAGCTTCATAGCTCCTATGGGCATCAAATATGAAACATAGCCAGTTAGAAGAGTTATCAAACCTTAGTGGGACGAGAAGTCTAAGAACAATATTCACAAGTTCATTCTTTGAGAAGCACCATTAGCTATTAACTGGGAAATATGGAAAAGTTGGACAGTATGTAAATATGGCGAGCAAAAGAATTTTCAACCGAGAAAAATGGAGCATCAAGTGATGTGGACTATCCAAGCAGCTTTGTGCATGGCCTTCCCCAAATGCAAAGTTACATGTCATGGCGTATATTCTGTGAAAAAGTAGAGCATTGGAACTCGACTCCAATAGTGCATCAAGTAACTTGGCGAAAACCCCCTACTGGAACGATTAAAATCAATACTGATGGAAGATATTTAAAAGAAACGGGAAGAGCTGGAATAGGAGGCATTTTTAGAAATGAAGAAGGTGATCTGATAATGGCATTCTCCTTGCCAGTCCAAAGCAACACAAACAATAGCACTGAAGCAATGGCCGTTAAAGTAGGAGTTCAATGGTGTATATAACAGGGTTATAATGACTTCTATATGGAGATTTACTCGCAGATAGTAGCCAACATGCTCATTGCTAGAAACACCGAGAACCTTCATTTAAAAGGCCTGATTGAAGACATTACTAGGCTCATGAACCATGTCAAAGTTAACATTACACACTGCTCCAGAGAAGAAAATCAAGTGGATGATATTTTGGCAAAAAAATACAGTAAAAACCGGGAGTAGTGGCTATTATTACACTTTCCAGTAGCTCCCAGGAAATGCTAAAGGACCTTTCCAGCTGGATAAATGGCAACTACCTAGTTTCAGAATTAGGTATGATAAAGCCAATATTTTTGTGAGCTGATGTACATTCTTTTGTAGATATGAGAGGTAGGATATATTTTGATTAATTACCTTGCCTTTCATATCGTTTTCTTAGGAGGTAAGGTCCATGTCCCCCTTCATTGTACGTAACATGTTTTTGTGGGAATATACATGGTAGGGGTCTCGCTAAACCCCCCAACATTCCAGGTAATGAGAACCTGGGTGATTGGCTTTAATAAAAAAAGTTAAAATTGATGAAGTCCAATCTTCTAGGCGTATATTTAAGATTCATATTTATATTGCATTATTGGTCTATTATTTTTTGGGCTAGAGATTTGTGAAGTTGTGACTGAGCCACGTGGTTGCAATGTATAGGTACGAGTAGTACTTATATGTAATTCTCTCTTATTCCCGACTATACCCATGTAATCTTAATACTTTCAATATCCATTAAGCCAAGCCAAGTGAAGCCAAAATTTGACTTAGAGTTCATTTTGAAAGCCAGAGTTCAAAGTTTGTCCCCATTTTATAAAATTTTGCAAATATATAGACCAAATCACAAAATATCATTCTTCTTCTTCTTCTTCTTCATCCTCCTCCTTCTCCTCCAACAACTCAATGTAAAAATCAGGAGAACTCACCAAGCCAGAAAAATGGAGTAGTTGTCCCTTAAATACATATAATCCAAATATAGTTAAATTAAGAGCGTGTTTGGCAAGCCACCTAGGAATTAGATATGGGTGTAATTTCACAGTTTGACATGTTTGTCTCACCAAGTAATTACTTCGTTAACATATAATTGGTTGTTATTTTAGAGGTATAATTATACTCTCCAATTCTCGAGGGGGAGGTGAGAATTGATAATTACACTGTGTAGTTACAATGCTACTTTTTAATTTCTTTCCTTTTTATTTTTATTTTTATTTATTTTCTTTATAATTTTTTATTTCCATTATTTTAATTTCTTACTATTTTAATTTTTTATTTTATTTTTACTTTTTAATTTCTTTTTTAATTGTAAAATATATTTTGTTTGTATATTATATATATTTTATTTCTCTACCTTACTTCTTGTGATTCCATGTAATTGCTCATATATGTTATTTCTTATTTGTTTTATTTTCTTCATTTTGGGTAATTTTGTTATTATTCTAACTTTTGAAACTACACTTCCTAATATTAAAAATAATGTATCATCAACAAACATGGCATATAGTGAGTGATGTTATTAAAGTAGAATTTCGTTGTTGCATGAGATTATAAACTTATTATGTTTCTGTCACGACCCAATATCCCTCCTTAGAAGTCGTGATAACACCTACTCTTTAAGATTAGGTAAGCCTAATAGTTATTGAATTAATAATAGAATTTTAACCAATTAGCTATTAAACGTCAACCAGAAATTTCTATATAGAGCAAACAATCTCAAGTAGATATACAACATTCCAAAACCAGTTGTACAAGTTATAAGCTCTGCTAAATTCACTACAAAATTTCTAAATACAATTTTTCCATTAGCGAAGACAACATAGAGGCGAGGAGCAGGAATTTTAGAGTGAGGGAACCGCATTCCAGTCTAGCAGCCAAGGTTCGGTAGAAGGCTTTAGTTAACCAAATAAATCGTATCCTTGATTTAATTAGCGGATACTAGTAAGTAGTAAGACATTCAATCTAATTGAAGGAAATGGAGAGATACTATGATAGGTGGCTAAACTAAATTGCAACGCTTGACACATCTATGAAGAGCAAATTCACTCTAAACATAAAAGCCAACAACGGTTGGGGCTTCCATATATCAACTTTGTCATATGCCTATAAATACTGAAAATGCTCCACCATTAAAGGGAAGTCAACCAAAGGACTCGATGATCAAAATTCAAACACTAAACATTCTAACATGTGACCTCACAACAGATTTTTCATTACAACGATATTTTTTTTGATGGTTGTACAAGTAGGTTCCAAACTGGACTCTGCATGAGTCCTACGAGAGAATAAAATATTGGGATCGAAATAATATGGTGCATACGAAATCTTACAATGTAAAGCTGGTGGACGATAAATCAGACAAGAAAATAATTATACTAAAATATGATACTATAATGGAGGTTTGGTCAATTGACCTACATATAAAAACTAGGATAAAAATATAAAAATTATTTAGAGAAAAATCTTCTCATAAACAAGACTCTTTAATGACTACATTGTAGATACTATTATTGTTGTTATGAGAAGAAAATGCCAATTTATACAAGTACAAAACTTCTCCTCTAAGAAAAGGATAAGGCATATGAAGAAGATTTATTCCTTTTTACAATCTTTTTCCATTCCTTCGAGAAAGAGAGTCTTAATAGATTAGAATTTCAGGACAAAATCATAACACAAAATACTAAATGCCATATATGAAACCAGCTCCATGAAACTTGTTTCTTGTCAATGCATCAATACGCTCAATTGTCATAGCATTCAGGTAGTTTTTATGATCCCCAACTACACCTTGTCGGAAGAAAGAATTATAGGGAACTTGAAACCAAGAAGGAAAATCTTCAGATTTGTTCACTTCATAGCTGCTCAGAATGTCAAAGCTGCAACTCTTCACAACCTCCTCTACTTCCTCCTCTCTGTCAAATGGGCATCCTAGAAACTCAGCCAATCTTTTGACATGAGTGTTTGTGTCTGTCATTAGCTCCTCATAAGTTATAAAGAAAATATTTTCAGGTTTCTCTAAGCTTGCCGTTTTGAATCCCATAACATGGTCATAATAAGGTCCACCAGGAAATATTCCAGCACAAAATTTCTCTATGGCTTCTTCAAGGGGCCATGGCCCATCTTCTACGTCCTTCCATTTATTTGTGAAATGCCACATTGATACCAGTGTGTCTTTAGGGTTTCGGGTAATGTAAACAACTCGACAGTGAGATGAATCAAGAGTTTCTCCTATAAGCTGGTAAGGAATATGGGTAGAGAAGAGCCTCCTTGAATCTAGATTCTCAATTTCAATTGGAGATGGTTCAGTTCCTCCAAAGACTTGGACCTCAAGCGTAGGAACAAGCTCGTGGGGATTGTGGTTGACTAATGACTCTTTGGAGGATCGATATATGATAGAGAAAAGAAGAGATTTAAGCCATGTTGTCCCAGTTTTTGGAAAGGATGCTAAAATTACATCATTATTACGTGGTTTGAACTCATTAAGAACACGAAAAGTTCTTGGCACAAATTTAGGAAGAAACCAGAAACCATTTATTTGACAGACATAGTTATCTCGCCACCAATTTTCTTTTGGTAAGGACGGATGGAGAAGCTCCACACTATTCACCATGAAATAATACTAGTACTGATACACGAGGAAGACGAAGTACTAAGAGAAGTATGTGTAATGAATCTGACAAATATAAGCAGTCACTCCTACAAAGCTTACTCCCTAATATATAGTTGTAAAATGTGAAGATTGTAGATCAAGCATTTAATGTAATTCAATAAAAGTCCTCTCCGGATATCGTAAACTTTGAACAAACTCCCACATGGGGCACCGACTATGGTCATTGGACCTTGTGGTTTGGCATTTGTTCAGCAACAACAGACATGAAATTTGTAAATTAATTTTTTTTTTTAAATTATAAGGTGGGGAATCAAATCTCCAAAGTCGAACGACTAACAAAACAAAGTTCTCATAATCAACCAAGTGTACAACTAAAATTTCTCTAAGATATTTGTGTTTAATTATTGAAAGCTGTAGGAGGGCTTTTTAAAGCTAGCAACTCTAATTTGATTTGCCAAATGAGTTTCAATCTCATAACTAAATTGGTATGGAATTTTAGACGTTAAATTATTCAGTTGCGAAATTATACAGTCAAAACTAATTGGCGTCATTTATATTAAATCAGGGAAAATATTCGAATACTTAACGCGCTTAATTTTTACTATTTGTCTTATATATGCTCTACTAATAAATATCTTCTCATAGGAGCACACACCGTATAAGTCTTTCGTCTCAAATACCCCTTCCACCAACAGTTTTCCACCATCAAAATTGGCTTGATTTGACTGATTATGGAATATTTAGAGGTATACTTAGATTGTTTAAATTGTTCAAGGGTATTGTAGGTCTCTTCTTTGACGGGAAAAATATGAACAAAATTGGAAAAATTTAAGAAAATATAGCACTTGAACAAGCATCCATTAATATATTTTCTTCCTTTTAGTTTATTTCTTTTTGGTGTATTAGTTTTAAACCAAACCTAGCAAGAAAAAACATACAACAAAAACATTCACAAGCTTGTTCCATTGGTAAGGTTTCACTAGTAATGAAAAGATGATTTAATTTGTTTCGATACTGATACTGTAACGATCCAGCCGGTCATCTTGTATATTTGCGCCCTGTTTTCCCATTTGATGTTTCTCGTATGTGTATTTGTTGTTACGTGACTTGTGGGGATGGTTGGTTTTGTTTCGTGAAGGTTTTGGATTGAATTAGAACACTTAGATCCTAAATATGAAGCATAAGTTGGAAGGATTGACTAAGTTTGACTTTGGTGTATTTGATATCAGATCGAAGTTTTGATCGCTCCGATAGGTCTGGAGGGTGATTTCGGACTTGGGTATATGCCGTATTTGAGTTTCGATGTTCTTAGATGATTTTGAGGCTAGTTATCGAAAGTTAGAAGTTTGAAGGTTTAGAGAGTTGATTGGTTTGACTCATAGTTGACTTTGTGGTTATAGATATCCGTTTAGGATTCATAACCTTGGAATAGGTTCGTATGTTGATTTATGACTTGTGTGTGAAATTTGGGTTCATTTCGAGTTGTTTGAACTTGTTCGAGGTATGATTGGAATTTAAAAAATTTGGATTAGTTCATTAAACTTGAATTGAGGCGCGATTCATGGTGTTGATGTTATTTTGTTTGATTTGAGCCTTGAGTAGGTCCATATTAAGTATTGGGAATGATTGGCAAAATTGGATGGAGTCCCAGGGGCCTCGTGTGAGTTTTGGATGGGATTCACATAATATTGGTGAAGTTTGGAACTGTTGAATTTCTCATGTATGGTGTGCCTCGCAATCGCAGAGAAAGTATCGCGATCATGAAGGCTATTCAAGGAAGTGTATTTTGATGCTCTTTCCGTTCACGATGGGAGTGTCGTGTTCACGGAGCTTGGTGGGCAGTGGCCTTTGCGTTCGCAATCTGAGCGTCACGTTCGCATATAGGGAAGGCAGGATAGGGTCGTAAAGCTTTTGGCCTTCGCGTTCGTGGATTGGCCATCGCATCCGAGTAGGCCATTGGTGGTTATGCATTGCGTTTGTGGGTTCCAGATGATGTCCGTGAAGTACAATTTTGGGCCAGTGCTAGGCTGTGCTTCTCGAACTCGTCCCATGGGCCGATATTTAAGTTCTTATTTTCAAACTTTGGGTTTATTTTATGATTCCATCCTTGATGCAATTTTCAATACTTGAATTGGCATAAGTATTTTTGACTTGGATTTGATTATTATTCAAATTCCATCCTTGAATTTGGCATTTGATTGATGAATCTAAATGAGAAAAATTAAGGGGTTTGGAAACATTTTTGTAAAAAGAAAAATTGGTATTTAAACACTGATTCAGAGTCAAGTTTGGATGAAACTTGTATGGTTCGACTCGTATTCTAATGAGTTATCGAACTTTGTTACTTTTGTCGGTTTCCAGGAGGCACGCCCGTGTTGAATTTATGGTTGAATTTTTTTATTGATATAGATCCGAGTTTTATTACTTGGAATCGATTTCTATAGTCGTGAGTGATGTTGCTGAGTTATTTTTTGCTAGATTTGACCTGTTTGGAGGTTATTTGAGACGCAAGGGCTTCTTAAAATATCAATTTGGCTTGTTTGAGGTAAGTATCTTGCATAACCTTGTAGGGGAAATACCCCTTAGGATTTTGTTACATCTCACATTTTCGTACGTTAAAATTTCGTTTTTAGTTAACCGACATAGACTCAGGGATGAGATCATCTTGACGTTAACGTACTTACGTTTTTTATAACAAGCGATAAATAAGTGTTATGAAGGATAAAGGAGTATATGGATTAAAGAAAACAAGTTTCGTTGAAAGCGGTCAATTTGGAATAAAATACAGGTCGAGCGATAATACCCGATAATTATGAACTAGTATCATGCAAGGTACCATATGACCACGGTAGTATAATATATAATGTATATATGAAGTATTTTAAAAATAAATAAAATTTTAAGTAATTTGTGGTAATTTCTTAATTATACGGATAATTGGTACATATCTAAAAAGAATTTGGATAAGGTTACTAAGGCAAGAACGTGGCAACTAGGGGTTAAGTCATTGTGACTCATGGCTCTTGACAAATAAGTAGCATGTGTAGGAAATTTTTAGGATTAAATAAACCCCAAAAGTGGGCCCTACAAGTCTTTAAGGTAAGACATTCTTATATATTGAAATTAAGCACTTATGTTGCTTCAGCAAGTTGTTTTACGTGATTTCATTACAAAAAGACTCAAAACCCCATTTTCAATTCATTTTCTGTCTCTAAGATTAATGAAAAGGTGCAGCAAGAAGGTTTCCTCCAAGATGATACTTGATAGTAACGTACGTTACTTAATTTCATACGAAACTTCTTAGAAAAATTAGCCACGGGATTTTGCAACTCTAAAGGAGTACGGTGCAATCTTTCTCAAGAACATCATACAAATTTTTCCCTACTCCNATATTATGTACACCATACCTATGCATGGCATGACATTTACATGCACGTGCATGACGTTATAAACGTTTCAGTATTTACAAAGTTATTCAAATTTTAAAATGTGTTTCAGTATTCCATGTTTCATCTATGTCTTTTACGTACTAATTTCCATGCCTTACATACTCAGTACATTTTTCGTACTGATGCCCTATTTCACGGGGCCTGCATTTCATGCCCGCAGGTGCAGGTAGGCAAGCTGACGGTCCCCATTCTTAGGATCCTTGATCAGCGAGAGTTGGCGTGCTCTATTTGATCCGGAGCTGCTTTTGATATTGGTACGATATGTTTGTATATATATATGTATATAAGTATGACGTGGCTCAGTCCCGTCTTTGTACAGTTATGTTTCTGTTAGAGGTCTGTAGACAGTATGTCTAGTTGGGTTGTATATGGCCTTGTCGGCTTTCCGTTTTTGATGTATAGTTGTCTATAGCAGCCTTGCCAGCTCGCCCACTATATTCTGCTTGTATACGTACATATGCCTTGATGGCAGGCTTCTTTCACGTATATTAATTTTTTAATGCAGCAGATGTTATTCAGGTTCATATTTTAGACGCATGCTTAGGGGTGTTTGATAGGTAAGACTCAGGCGCCCGTCAAGGCCCATCGGTTTGGGTCGTGACAAAAGTGGTATCAGAGCAGTTCTATCCTAGGGTTGTCTACAGACCGTGTCTAGTAGAGTCTTGTTTATGGGTGTGTCATGCACCACACTTATAAACAGGAGGCTATAGGCAAATAGGATGTTATCCTCTCTCTTTATCTCAAGATCGTGCAATACAACAATTCTTGTTCCTAACGATACGTTATATTTTCAGCAATGCCTCCAAAGAGTACGGCCGCCCAGAAGGA